CCCCCATTAAGGAAAATAGTAAAAGGGCCCCCCTACCCCCAGGAACTTCCAATTTTCTTCCATACAATGTAATTTTGTTCTTTTTCTGACCCCCTTCCCCTCCAGAATTTCCAATTTTCTCTGTGGGTGGGTCATGGATAGTTTCTGGAACTACACATTTAAATGGTAGCAAATAACAAGTTTTACAGTGTGCCAGGATTAGATCAAGATTAGATCTTCCCCTCCCATCAGTACTATGGTTTATGGACTACTGTACATTAAGTTGGTTTAAGGTGTACTTACTTGATCCATACAAGTGAGTTGTAGAATTCTGGGTCAATAGATTCCAAGTCTTTCATACTAAGCTTCTTATTTAGCATTCTCTTGTAGAATGGCAGAGTGAAGCCTCTATCAATGAACTTGCCATGATAAAGAGCCTATAGAAAAGTATAATGCTTGATGAGTTATCTTAGATCCATGTCACTCAGTTGAGACAAATACCAAATATCATAAATCCACTTTATCAAAAAATACTGGGCTGATCTAAGTCAAAAATACTTGTAATCACTAATTGCCACCGCAAAGTACAGCAATGGCACAGCTCAACAGGGTCAAACTGAAAGCATATGAATGTGACCCTGAAACACATCTCTAACCAGTTTGAAATATTTAGGGTTGATTTGAGAAGAAAAGCACCTGACAGCTCACATAGGGTGGTGAAAGGCAAGTGTTTTACCACCGTGCCGTCATTGACTCCTGAATCAAGGCATAGCTAACTCAAATATAATATAGAAGTACAAATGAGCATCAGGGTTGTCAATAAAATTTTTGGTAGGCGGTTATGAAATTAAAATAGGCGGTAAACCGGAAATCACTTGAGCATGTAATCGAGGCATTCTTGTCACCAGTCTCACTCTTCTCACAAAATCTCAAAATGGCGGACAACGATCGTCATAGTTTTGATTGCTTTGCAATTTTGATAGTACAGCAACAAACATTGGATTAAAACTTATTTTAACGAACTTTAAAGAACTTTAATCAAAATTAATTACAATTACATTGGGAAGTGGCTAAGAAGGCGGCCGAATTAGCAAGAGTAGACAGCGGAATCTGCCGGTTGCCAGCTTCTGTTGAAAACCCTGGAGCATGTTGTGACTGAACTGCTGTTCAAGCAGTTAAACTAAACTATGTAATATGAAATACAATAAAACTCACCATAGCAATCAAACGACCAATAAAGCGAAAGTACATGAGATGGTCAGGGTTTACTGAAGAAGCTGAAAAAAAATTTTTGTTACAGGTTTTTAGATTAGATAATACTTTTCTGTTGTGCATGCTGAAAACTATATTCAAAATGCACATGCAACTCTAACATCTTTGCACTGAAGAAGTTCTAGGATAGGACTGAACTGTCTGTGCAGTTTGTCTAGAAAAGTAAGCTAGAGCTAACGAATCTAAGGAAAATGAACTACCAATTTTTTGAGAGTGTGTTTCAAAGGAAGTTAAGAGTTTCTTGTTGTAGGGTCTGCATTACCTGCATTAATTTGTAAACTGTAGTTGTTTTTGTTGGCATACTCAAACAAGCAGTACATAGGGTTAAGTACTTCGTGAGAAAGCAAAAAGAACCACTCCCTGGAAACCAAAAATAAGAAAAAAATAAGTCAGAGCTTGCAACTACTGATATGAAAATAGACCGTTTTCTCAAGGTTGCGTGTGCATCCAACTTGACAAGACTCATGTTCTGGTATTGTGGCCTTGAGAAAACCATCATTTGCATATTTTTTGACACAACAAAATTATTGATCTAAAACGATAAAAACTTCTCATTTTTAGTTATCAAAACAACCAACGGAAAGAGCGCACACTTGTTGAGTTCAGCTTTATCTGTCTGCCCTCTTATTGATGATAAAAAATAACCAATCAGGGCGCGAGAAATTTGTAAGTTATTGTAAAAAGGAAATATGCAGTCTCCAATTACTAACAGATGTTTATAGAATAAAGGTTGTTACATCTTGCATCTTCATTCGAGATTGAGAAGGGTTGATAGCGCATCACTTACCAACAACACCACCATAATCCAGTCCCTCTTCCCCTTTGAATATAATGTACAGTCGCTGCCTGAGATCATGTGGTTGATAGCGCATCACTTACCTAGCAACACCACCATAATCCAGTCCCTCTTCCCCTTTGAATATGATGTACAGTCGCCGTCTGAGATCATGTGGTTGATAGCGCATCACTTGGCTGAAGGAATCTTCAAACAAGTTGTTTCTGTTAACAGTGATCTTGACGTGACTTGGAAGAGCATTGGCCTTGGATAAAGAAAACAATGAATAGACAATTATTGGATGAGGTTGAGCATCATAATGTAAATTTTCAAGACTGAGTTATCAGTTGAAGCCATAGCCTTAACATTCTCAGCCATTCAAAGGTGAGGTAAAATGTATAATAATAGTCCTTAGTACTAGTCAATGTCAATATCAATAAACCGGAGTCAACAAATCTTTAATCAATGAACAAAGTGTAACAATACGAAAATGGTCTGTAGTCTTTTTCTGATTCAGTAAATACAGCTGTGTTCTATAGCTACAAACTCATTTGTACAGGTTGTTTAAGACTAAATTTGCAAAAGTCAACACTGTAATGCAAAGAATGTGCAAGTTGAACAATACCAATGTTATGAAATACCACTGATCTTTACAGTGCAACTACTGTAACCTGGGACACTTAAAACTAGTTAGAAAAGAGAACCAATTAAAATGTAGAATGAAAACAATGCATTCCAACTTTGGGTAGTGGAGCCAATCAGAAACTTAGACTGCACCTGAATTGTAATGACCTTGATGTTATGTGTAAGCAACTAGATAGCCATTATCATGTTCTTGTGGGAATAAATACAAGTTGAAAGACTTGTTTTCTGCTGCTTTCTGATTGGCTCCACTACCCAAATTTGGAATGTATTGTTTTTATCCTACAATTCAATTGGCTCTCTCACGTTATAGTAGTTGCACTGTAATGGCATTTTTAAAATAATACTCCATTTTACAGTTCCGTTCAGTGACCATGAATAATAGATCCTAGCCGAGGCTGGAGTTACTGCGCATAGCAAAACTACAGTTTATCACGTAAAATGGAGTGTTGAGGCCAAACCTCTATGAATGTCTGTGGTCTTCAAAAACAGTGGTATGCATCTAATGCATAATGAAGACAACGAAGATGTCAAATGAACGATTGTAGGGTTACGGATTGCATTACCTGGCACAGATGTCTGAACTGGCCAACCTTCCATCTAAAGCTCCGTTCATATGTAGGTCCTCCTACAATAGCAGGCGGTGGCATCCTGGGATCCGTGAATGATGTGGTCCTTGTGGTGTGGTCTACAAAGTATGGAATTCCTTCATTGGTGTATCTCATCTCCCATCCCTGAGGTAGGGGTTCATCTTTGACAGCTCTGAAATCCAAATCATAATCACAACGTATGAACTTTGTAAATAATACTGTTTCTTGGATGCACCTGGTGATGCCTATTTTCACTGATTTGAAAATCAAATCAAATATTTTATAAGGATTTGTATATGAAATTGTTTGGATGGCAAGCTCTTGTAGTACCAGTCTTTTCACAAAGGAAGGCACAGGTCTTTTCTAAAGCTTCTAGTGCTACATTGGTCTTGTGTGTCAAATGGTCAGAGAATGAATCAGAATCAGAATAAAAAAAAAAAAGAATGAATCAGTACTTACGCTTGAGCTCTTGGATCTTCCCAGTGGGTCGTACGGGTATTGTGATTTACAAAGTAGACTCTACCATTAGACTCCACTCTTTTTTCTAACAAAAACAAGAAATTTAAACAGATATTAAGTAAAATATCCAGGTATGATAGTGTTTGAGACACCTTTATTAAGTGTGGTGACGCTAGCCAATGCAAGCATAACCACAAGTGCAAGCCAATGCAAGAAAAACTAAATAGACACCTTTATTAAGCGTGGTGACACTAGCCAATACAAGCATAAACACAAGCGCAAGCCAATGCAAGAAAAACTAAATCTTTATAGTGAAAACATGAAGCTGCATCTGCTTGATTGACAGTAGTCTACTGGCAATTAACACAACTTTTGTCGTCATCAGTAAGTACAGTAGCAATGAAAGCAGAGGTAACGTTAGACCTTGTTGAGATGTTCAAGCTCCAACACAGTGGTTCTTGATTATAGTAATTCTGCTCTGTTTTACCAAATTTAGACAATTTCTAAGTACATTCAATATCATTAAAATACAATAGATTTCATCCTACCCCATCCAGGTGGAAGTGGTCCAAGTTGATCTGTTTCTTGAGGGGCAGCAGTAGGACCCATCTAAAAGATGTTCCAGACACCAATATTATTGTATACAGTGAAATCTGTTTTCATGGCACTCAGTTGATGTAATGTATTCATAAAATCTATTTCATTCTATTGTCATATTATCCATTGTATTAGGTGTGATTCATTGTATGTGTACGAATACAGTACATCAACTGCTTGCTATGTAGGCTCTCCCGGGCATAAACTCAGGAATTGTCCAGCAGCCACTAAATGCAGGTTGGCTGAGCTCAATATTAGTGCAAAAACCCTTTTGGGACTTTGACAACTGGTCACTAAATAGAGGTTGGTCGCTTAATAGAGGTATAAATTAGTGCAAAAACCCTTTTTGGGACAACTGGCTGCTAATTAGAGGTTGGTTACTAAATAGGTGGCAAGTTAATACAGGTTCTACTGTATTCATTTATGTAAATGATATTAATCTTCAAAAAAACAACAACAGACAAACAGACAGACAGACAAGATATCAACAACAAAATGGACAATGATGTCAGTAGATATCAATAACAACTTACAGGAAGAAGAAACCTCTGTTGGAAGTGTTGTCTCTCAGTGTTCAACATAGCTCTATTTTGTGTCTGCCAGTGCTCATAGTTTCTGATGGACTCTACTGTAGGTCGTTGCCATGTAGTGGTACGTGTGTTATGATCAACATAGTATGTTCTTCCTCTCGAGTCTGTTCTTCTTTCCCACCTGATGTAGTGTAAGATTCATAAAATACTGTATTAATTCTAATAACCAAGTCAATTGACACGAGAAACCATTACATTCTACTAGAACAAACAATAAGACTTTTATTTTCATGTCATAAAAAAATCCCTTGCACATGTTTTTTTTTCTGTTCAGTTAATTTAGTTTTAATTTCCAATGATGTCTTTGACAGGAAGGGGGATAATTTGGATTTGATAAAGAGGTAGTTTGCAGTAAACCCTTCTCTCCCCCAGCCCCCTCCCCCCCCCCCCNGTTCGATAAAATGTAAAGGTTTGAAGGTTAAACCCCCCCCCCCCCAAAAAAACAACAACAACAAATGGTTCTGATAAATACACAGTAAAGATGACATAATAATACTAACCCATGTGGAAGTGGCTGAGGTCGTTCCCATGCAGTCGTTCTTGTATTATGATCAACATAGTAAATTCTACCATGAGGATCAACTCTTTGCTCCCATCTGCAACAAGAAAAAAATGTATTCAAAAAAATATCCCATAATAGTAAGAACCACAGGGGTCTAACATCAAAGGAAGGACTTTTCAAATAGAGCTTTCCATGGATGATGTCACAATTGTGCATCAAGGGTATTCAAATACGAACAAGACAAGCTATAGAAGCGGACATGCTAATGTGCTGCAACCATGTTTTGTAGTCTCATTGTTTCCAATAGACCTATCCCGAATTTGCTTAACTGGTCACAAAACAATGCTTTGAAGTCGACGTTGAAGAATCAAGTTCAATCTTGACTTGAAACCATTGTCTTGTGACCAGTCAAGTGAATTCGGGACAAGGCTTTGCTAGATCTATTTAGTAACTGTAAAAAATGCTATTGTCCATGAAAATAGATATAAAACAGACTTTTCCTATAGACACTTGAGTGACCACAAAAAAATGACAAAGTTACTTTGATTTTATAAAATACAGTAAATGTAAAAAAATATGTATGAACACATCAAGTCCAACCTGAACAAGGAACCATTATTTCACATTCACTTGAATATAATAATCTTTTTTGTGTAGTCATAGCATTTATAATGTTTTACTTTAAATGAAAACAAGCATTTAAAAAAAATCTATTTCGATAGGCCTAGCTACAAAGTCTATTGTTCTTTGGACACGTCTTGATGCAGATTTTGAAAGAACATTCATTACTGTTTTCATATGATAGGGTGGTCTAATAAGTAAGATTCTCCTTTATGCTCAAAATTTGACTTAATCTAAAGCACCTTATTTTCTTTAGAATTTGCTGGTTTTCCCATGTTCCCAGGGGGGTCACCCAAGGGAATTTACTAGTGAAAGGGTTAAAGTGCCTATGACACCTAAGTAAAAATTTTCAGCATTGATTCTACATAAAGTAAAAAGTTGAATAGTAAAATATTTTTTTGATTTCCATGTGATGACAGATAAACTGAAATGCCTCCTTTGATGTCACATCATTAACATATTGGGAGTAAAAACCTTGATATCTCCAAGATGTATCACTCAAACCATATAACAATAATTTACTATTCAACTTTTCACTTCATTTAGGATCATTGCTGAAAATGTTGAATTAGGTGTCATAGGCACTTTAAGTTTATTTATGTACAGTAGTTGTGTAAACCTTTTCAATGAATTTGTTTCCATATACTTTGATTATGGTGGTCTTACCCTGGTGGTAGTGGCTCCTCTGGGCCTGTGGGTGCTCTTTGAGGTGGAGGGGGTCGGCTGGATGGTGGTCCAAGTGTCATATTACTGTTGGCTGTAAACCAAAGAAACATATCAATCAGAAACAATCCCAACCAAGGTAACCTACTTGCTAACTGAACGTTCAGGGCTTTCATTAAGTTCTGAAATAAGAAGAGAAGATCATGAACTGCCGTAGAGTCCTGGAGACCAAAGTACCAAATTACTAAACTATCAATGGTGGTTTAAGCTTGAGAATTTTGGTCCATCAATAGAGCATTCTCCAATCTCTAATCCTTAATGAATGAAAACCCTGACAGAGCAGATAGCCTCCTGGCTGGCTTAATTGCGATATACTTTACAATTAAAAATAAATGTTAAACATATTAAAAAATAAATAAAGGAAAAGGAGAAATACAAAAAAAAATCTAACAAATAAGATAAGGGGTATTTAGCAAACATCCTCTAAAATTATAGTCTAGAAGCTAAGTCTGAAAAGAGGCTTATTTTTCAAGTTGGCTGCACCCCATG